GTGAGAACGCTTTCGGCATGTTGTTCGATGTCAATTGGGCCAGGATTGTCCAGTTCGTCCGCCAGGTTGTGGTATATGTTCGATGTATAGTCTGGGCGGTTTCGTTTGGGGCTTCGTCCTCGGTAAGGAAGTGGTCCTGGGAGCATTGGACTGCTACTAGGTGGGAACGGCTGGTGAGTTGTCGCAACTCTTCCTTGAAGCAAAACCGCTTGGGCCTTGCTGATTGGAATTGGGTTCGTGGCAGCCGCGGGCGTTCGCACCTTGGTGGCCTCGGGGGTGACGAGATCAATCGCCATGCCTTCGGCAGCACTCTAGGTGCGATAAGCGAGTTTTGGATATCTTTTAAGTTCGATCCGAGTATATTATCTACGTAATTTCTACAAAAGCTAAATTTGGCCTTGTAGATGTAGATGTGTGTCTCTACCAGAGGCCACCAGTGAAAACCTGTGTCTAGGGTAGGTGCGGGTCGCCAAGTGTACAAAAATCGGCTGTTTTAAAGGCATTAAACGTATATCAAATCCAGAATTATATATTTGTTTGTTTGAAAAGGTGATTGGACAATATTTGTTTGATTTGTTTGGTAGTTTGTTTGATAGGATTTGATTTAAGGGCAGCGCTGGTTGGAGGCAATAACCCCTATTTATTCAGTAGTGAAGGAAGAGTATCTGCCGAGCTTGTGGGATATTATACTGAAGTGAGTTGAAGGCCGAGGACCAATGACCCATACAAGGTATATAAGAGGTAATTGCAGCAAGCTGGAACAACCCTTTTTCGAACCATTCTTCTTCATCTTCAGATACTGATAGTAGTCGCTCAGTTAGCTGCCAATATACCCAGTTGAGACAGTTACAGCTTCTATTATAACTTAGTCTGAAAAACAAAAGATAAAGTTATAATTATAGTACTCGATCTTACCAATTAAGTATCTTAGTTGTATTCACTATACTACTAATCTATTTATATATTTACTCTTTACAACCCCGATAGCCTGCGCTATACCACCTCATATAATCGTATGTGTTTGCCTAACCCTAGCTCGTGTTCCCGCCCAATTAATCTTGGTAATAGGAAATTCAATTTCGAAGAGTGTCCTGACACCTAGCCTGATGGGTTGGGATTATCGCATTTATTTCGGCCTTGATATTGCGCTTTGGTGATGCAGGAATGCTGGCCGTTGTAGGTCCAGTCAATCTTATTGCCATAAACAGGAGGACACGTGCACTCGACAACGAGAGCACCAGGCACATATTCGCACTTGACAGCGCAACGAGGATTATGTGGCGTCTGACCAGCAGAATCATATGAGCAAGACCCGTAGAAGCCGTCAGTGCATCTGAAAGCAGCTGTAGCCTTGATACCAGCCAAGAGAAAAGCAAGGGCTGTCAACTTCATTGTATAAAAATACTGATCTGTAGAAGATATTATGTGGAGGAGTGAGGATAGCTGAGTTGAAGAGCTTGAAGAGAAGTTGAAGAAGTGAGAGTTATCGTGTGTAGAGGAACGAAAGGGGCCAGGGTTTCTAATATAGAAAATATTGACTAATTCGGGCACCGCAGGCTTAATATCTGCCGATGGGTTTGTTCGAATCCACGCCTGCTAACTAAGCACCAAGTGCTCGGCGGATAATACTATATATTAGTAATCGCCACTTTGCTAGTAATAACATAGCAGGCTATTAGTAAGCGACTTTACTATGATACTAAGTCTCCATTTATCACCTCTACGAACTAGTATAGTACTAGGGAGCGTTAATTTGAAATTGTTGAAGATAAGCTTTAACAGGAGTATAATATAAGATTAAGGTTATGCCGCTTTAGAACTCTTCTCGGCTCCTAAACACTAATACTTAGTATAGTCAAAATGAAGGCCTTCGCTATATTCACCTTTGCAGTAGCAGCCGCTTCTGCGGCTGTAATTAATTCTACCCAGATCGTGGAGGTTCCTAGCGGTGCTCTTGAGATCACCATCGATGGTGTTTCATGGGGCTATCTGCTTGATACTACAGAAGGAGGTTTGTTCCACTATTCTACTTACGAACCTGTTACTATTGCTATACTAACACAGTATCTAGTCCGGACTTTCGACGTCTCTGGCACTGAGTATAACCTGCAGCAGACTATCGTAACTAGAGGCGGCGTCCATACAATCGCAGAATTGATTCAGAAATGGGGCAAGCCTGCCGCAAAGCTTTTCCAGTGTATCGGTGCTAAGGTTGTCAGCAATTGTGCAAGCCAGGCAAGTCAATTTGTTTCCGTTTGTTTCCGACAAACAAAGTGGAATAAGCAGTTTCCTAATACAGATTCTTTAGTTCGTCTTATGTAGCGCAAGCGGCGTTGCGCCTTGGGTTTGTGCAGGAGGTCTCACATGTGCTGGTCCTCATGCGGTGGAGTGTATACAGCNCGCTCGAGGCAGCCAGACGAGCTGTCTTAGTGACTAGAAACACCACACCGGGGTCCGACGGAATTACGCGCGACATGCTAAAACTTGCGTGGCCGTATATCGGCCAAGCAGTCACTCTCCTCTACAATGCCTGCCTGGAGTTTGGATACCACCTAAAACAGCTCCGTACAGCGGAAGTGGTGATGATTCCCAAGCCTACCAAGAGAGACCTGACAGACCCGCGCTCATAGCGACCAATTGCACTGCTATCCTGTCTTAGCAAAGGCCTGGAGCGCCTTATAGCCTGCAGAATAGTGTACTACGCTATCACCTACAATATTGTCCACCAGAACCAGGCTGGGGCACTACCCAAGCGTAGTGCCACCAACCTGGTAGCGGCGCTAATCCACGATATTAAACTCGAGCGGAAGAAAGGCAACTACGTTACAATTACTACAGCCGACGTCCAAGGTGCATACGACGCTATCCTCCGTAATCGTATGGCAACTAGACTCTACCTACAAGGATGGCCTATAAACTTGGTTAACTGGATACACAGCTTCCTCTCTAGCAGAAGAGTATCTATCCGACTTCAAGATATTGTCACAGTACTCATGAAACTAACCTGCGGCCTACCGCAAGGATCCCCCATGTCACTAATCCTTTTTATTCTGTACACTGCTGTGCTTTACACTATTACAGGACCACTGCAACGATACGGCTATATAGACGATATGGCAATGCTCTTTTCCGCCCCGACACTCAGACAAACAACTCGACAGGCAAACGCTGCTATAGAGGCACTAGAGACTCTAGGAGCTGAACATGCTATCACGTTTAACCCAGCCAAAACAGAAGTCATGCACTTCACGGGTGAAAAGCATCGTAATAACCTCCTACCTATCACGCACAAAGGACAGCTTATCTACTGTAAGCTATCGATAAGATGGCTCGGTATTTGGTTCGACTCGCAACTGCGATTCGAGCACTATGTTGAGATACGCTGTGCACTAGCAAAGCGCACCGCCCTGCATCTCCGCAGCTTCTACACAACAATACACGGCCCCTCAGCACAGGCTATTAGGCAAGCAATTATCGCCTGCGTGCTCCCGAAACTACTTTTCGGCGCAGATGTATGGCTACTAGGGCCTACCAGCGACGTCGCTGAAACACAGCCCCGGCAAAAACGACTCACGCGAAGGATTGCTAAGAAGATGCAGGTCGTGATCAACATCGCCTGTAAAGCAGCGCTTCTAGTATGGAAAATAACCCGCAGCACGAATATGTGGCGCGAGGCATCTATACCACCAATCTAACATATCCTCTACGGGATACAGCAACGCACTGCCGCACGCTTACGTACTCTAGACAAACAACACCCGCTCGTGCAACGAGGCCGCTAGTGTCAGCCTCACCAAAGGCACACGAGGCTCTAGCACACCTCCGCAATAGCCCCGTGGCGAAAACACACAGTTCTCCAGCCACTNAGCCGAACTACTCTTTCGAGATCGCTCATCTTACAAGGACTGGCTGAATAATCAAATGAGAAGGGATCCATCAATTGCAATTAAACAAGAAGATCTGAATTACCTACCAATATACGACTCAACGCCAGAAAGCCCACATAGAAGCTATACGCCCGAGTCAAACAGCCGAATAGACCGGGCGCAGGTCTCCCATAATACCGAGATCACTATACACATCTCATCAAGCTCATCAAGCTCTGATGTTGATATACGAGTAACACCACCTTTACTAGCAGCAATTCCGGCAGTAGCAGAAGCTGATCCTGTTATTGAAGTTGATCCTATCCTTAACACCGATGCGGAAGTATACGAAGCATCACACTATTCAACACTTCGAAATCGGCGATATCATCTCTATCAAGATCCCAAGAGAAGATCGAACCTCTACAGATAACAAGAGACTCTTTGGGAGAGTCTTATCAGAGCCATACAGCCATCGATACCAAATCCTTACCCAATCTGGAATTATCAAGCGGCTTATTCCAACCAAATCACTCTGTATAGTAGATAGGACTCTCTGGTCCGATATACAGATCCTATCTACAACAAAAGAGATTACACTACGAGAAGTAGCTCGAGATGCATCAACAAGCGTACGAGTTACTATATCTTGCTAATGTAAAGCTGCATGTAGCACACGGCGCTGTAGATGCTTTCGAGAGAAGTAGAAGTGCAGTGTTCATTGCTATAATGACGAACATAATTGTGGGAATCTATCTACATTAGCGATCCGTACAGAGATAGCCTTGATTGAGAAGCCAGAATAAAGAAAAACACGGTCAAGGACACGGCAAGAGGGCTAGAAGGCTCTATGGTGCGAGTGATTTAGCTCAAATTACTCGTAATGGTTCTTTATAGCACATATAATGGGTTAACATAGTAAAATCAATAAATTCAGCCAGTTTACGTACGTATTCAGTGCCATTGGGCCTAAATCACCCGCAGCTTCCCTGGATGGCGTAATTCGTGAATGGCGTAGAACATATACATACCCACTAATTCCCCAGGCACTAAATTAATACAATGATTGCCTTGTATTTAAGAACAGCTTGGCTAGTCCCGCCATATCACCATCCTCCATAATAACGACATCTACACAATGATACCCACTCAACGCTAAGAACTATCGTTCCCTTCGATGGGCCGTTGTGTTTTTAAATGCTGAGCGTTTTGTTGACGGAGGAGGGCCAGCTGGTTTTGATAGTCGGCCTCGGCTTCCTCCGGCGACAGAATCCTGCGCGGAATAATGTTCCCAATGTCTTCTGCACTTCGTGACTGACCGGCAGCTATTTGTGATGTTTGGTTGCTCTCCGGCGTCTCCTTCGCACTGGTAGGCGGAGCGACATATTGGATAGCTTTGTTTGCATTCGACTTCGGAGACATGATGGGTAAGAGCCGAATAGCAGGCCAACAAGCGAGGCCAGTAGAGGATGAGATTAATTCAAGTATTAGAACTACTGTACAACAAACGTACCGGTATTAATAGTAATACGGTATTAATAACAACTGCTTGGGATTACTTGTCACATGTGCAGCATTGTTGTGGTCTGCTCAATTTGAGGCCTGAGGTTCAACAAGAACGAGCCGTGTCAGGTACCTAATTAGACGCCTCTTCTGGCTTGCCGAGGTGCGCCCCATGTTATCCTCGTCGAACGGGCGCTTAGTTAGCAACGTAGCATTTGGAGTCAATGTTAGAGGTGGTGCTTTGTTAGCGCCTATTGTTCCTTCTACTTGTGTGAGTAGTTTTATGGCGACTTGCGAAATGGACCCGCTGGAGCTGTCTATTTAAGTGCAAGGCAGACACAGGTCTACCTTGCGAGAACAGCAACATATAAATTTCCTCACATAATAACTTACAGTATCTAGAATAACAACCGCTGTCAACATGAAATCCGCCGCTGGCGTTCTGTTTTTTGCGCCGGCTCTTATCCTCGCCGCTGTACTTACGGATCCCGTAGTCCCCAGGGACATATTTCTAGGCGTATGCAGATTTATTTTAAATATTACTGTTACTTGGTATACTAACGACATAAATAGACCTGCCAGAACCATGGTAATTTCGTCCAATGCCAAGGTAGACTTCCTAATAGCAAACAATTCGGCCGAGCTTGCACCGATGGATCTTGCAAGGACCACAGGGGGTGGGGTTGTAGTAGGTCTAACAGCTTCAACTAAAACACAGGAATAATTACTAATTATGTTACAGATCTTAGTACGAATGTTAAGTATGTGTCTTCGCTTCATATTTTTCGGATTTATGAAATAACTACTAACTTTTCGACAACAGCCCATGGCGCGTCGTCTGCCCTGGTGCCGAATAACGTGCTAAACCGTATGAGCGTAGGGTGGTCGATAGTTTTGCAGTTTTGCAGTTCGAACTGCAGTTTGAACGGACTAGTTCGGTTTTTGTAAATGCAAAACGGACTGGATAATATTTTACAGACGCTAGTTTTGAACTGCAAAAACTGCAGTTCAGGTAGGCACAACTGCAGTTTAAACTGCAGTTTATACAACAGGCTAGACCCGTGGAAGATCTCGGGCTCCTCTCGACCAGGATCCCTGCAAGCTCTAGATAAGCTTGCCCCTTTCTTTCTTTCCTTGTCTTCGGATACTCGTAGTGGTCGCTCAACTACATACCTGGGCACATAGTTATGGTTATATTAGTGGTTATGGTTATAACCATAACCATACCCACAATATAGTTATATGGTTATAACCATAGGACCCCAGTGGATATAGTTATAACTAAATATAACCATGGTAGCGTCTTAATATTAATTAAGGGGCGAAAATTTGTAAATACCTTATATTAACTACGCTCTCCTCCAACATCGCCTTGTAGTAGCATTAATACTACATCATGTCATCAGATATCTCATCTAGTATTACGTCTGCTTCACAAACGTCATCAATACCAACAATACCATTACATTTTGACAGTATAATCAAGGTTGAATATATCGAAAAGCCGAATTCAATCCTCAAATCAGGTATTCAGCGTCGAAGGCAGTTTACTTGTCGAAAATGTAGTTCTTGGACTACATCCCACCGGACGAATGCTATTAACCATATTATATCTCTTCACCCCCTATCCAGACAGTCTTCTGGGGCTTCCTCGTCTATCGTACCACCACAAAGGGATATATCACCGATGTTTACGCCTATTCTTTCCAACAATGGTCTTCGAAATAGCTTTAATCAACAAGGTTACCGAGAAGCTATTATTGGCTTATTAACTCGGCGTCGAATGCCTTTCTCTGCTGTTGAATGGAGTGAGATGAGAGATCTTGCTCTGGCTTGTAACCCAGCTATTGAAGATCTATTGATTACTTCACGCCGTACTGCAGTTCGCTATATTGCTTCGAATTATACACTTTACCAGGGCCAAATAAAGGAGAACCTTGCCACCAGCAGTAGCCCAATCCATATATCATCAGATCTATGGACATCGCCCCATCGCAATTCTCTTCTTGCTATCTGTGAAAAATGGGTTGACCAAGATGGCAAGCTAAAGAAGGCTCTACTTGGATTACCAGAATGTCGATATTCCCATAGAGGAGAGAAACAAGCTAGCCTTATTCTCCAAACTGTGAAGGATTTCAATATCCAATCTAAGCTTGGGTGGCATACAGGGGACAATGCAACTTCGAATAATACTTGTTTAGAGGTTATGGAGTCACGCTTACTTACTGAATATGGAATACGGTTCAATGCTAAACAACGTCGTATTCGATGTATTGGTCATATTATCAATCTCTCCCTTCAAGCCTTCTTATTGGCATCATCAAAGGAGGCATTACTAGCAGCTCTTGCTGCTGCTGCTGATGTATCAGGGGAAGAGCTTATTAGTCAATTTTCTACTATGCTTAGCTATAAACGATAAAAAGAGCAAGCTAAACAGCTAGAAGGAAATCGTACTCGCCGCCGTGGCAGCTATAATAGCCAAGATTCTATAGCTGACGAATTCTCTGGTATTCAAGGTATACCTGCCTTACATAAACTTCATGAGCTAGCTATTTGGCTGCGTAGCTCGTCATTACATGCTGATATCTGGGATGATCGTGTTGGCCTGCGACTTGGTATTGATAACCAAACACGATGGTCATCGTGGTATATGGTTATAAATAGAGCTCTTACAAAGCAATCAGAAATCAAAGCCTTTATGACGGATTATGAAGAAGCCCTTAGTGGTATACGTCTTACGGCTCAAGATTGGGATTTACTATATAAAGCCCATATCTTTCTACAGCTATTTGCATCAGCAACACTATATGCAGAAGGGGATAAATCATCCATCTCCCAATCATTGTTATTAATGGATGCTCTCCTTGCCCATTACGAGCGAAATAAGCTATACTATTCTCAGGAAGACCATCTTGATCCTAGAATGGTTCGCGCAATTGAAATGGGCTGGATTGTTCTTGCTAAATATTACAATATGACTGAAGAAGTACCTGTTTATACAGCTGCTCTTCTCCTCGATCCCTCTCGTAGAGCAGCATATATTCGAAAGAACTGGCCAGATGCTTGGGTTCAGCCAGCTATTAACGCTGCTACGCAACTCTGGGAAGAGAATTTTAAGGTAAAATCTATTACAGATGATGACCTATCTATACCCTCATCAATACCACCACCGGAAACCCCTCTAAGAACGCATGGTATTGAACTTGATCTACTGCTTAAGGATATGGAAGTTATTACAGCAGATTTGAGGGAGGATAAGTTCAAGAGCTTCATCGATTTACCACCTTTCCGTATTGATTGTAGTCCTCTTGAGTGGTGGGGTCGNAGAAGTTGAATGACTACTATATTAAGCTTGGAGACTCGCCTCTTTTCGCTGCAGCAGTTATACTACATCCTAACTACAGTCTTCGCTGGCTACAGGAACGTTGGAATGGAAAGGAACAACTTATATGGCTTTATGATGCCAAGAAAGGTCTAGAAGACTTCTAGGAACGTTGGTATCATCATGATATTCATTCTCGACTTACCGAAGAATATACAAGCCAGAAAACTAATACCATAGCTACCCAATCATCTCATGAGGATAGCCGATATCAGAAATGGTTGAATAGTAGAACAATAAGGCTTTCAGATGATAGCTCAGAGCTTGATCGATATTTCAGGCTCGATCTACCTCAACGAGTAGATGATCCTGTTCAATAGTGGATATCACATCAAGCATCATTTCCAAGTCTTAGCAAGCTTGCTTTGGATATATTTGAAATTCCAGCCATGGCTGCGGATTGTGAAAGAGCATTCAGCTTGGCTAAGCTGACATTAACATCACAAAGACTTTCGATGTCGTCATCAGTCTTGGAAAAGGTACAGTGCTTGAAGAATTGGATGCGGAGAGGTGCAGTGTTTAATAGAGACTTCAATTTTGTAGAGTCAATACCAGACACTATGTAATTTAGTCAATCAAATCTGTCAAACATGTCAAATACTATCAAATACTATCAAACAGTCAAATATGTCATGATCATGGAGTCAAACACTCAAATCTGAACCCCTGATTTGATTTGTTTGGTCGAGCGGCTGCGCTGGATATGCTGGCTAGAGGTATCGCTTTCGAGGTCGAATTCAATATCCTCGTCTGCACTTCGGGTAGCAAGCTTTGCGGTAAGGAGTGCTTGGGCCCTCTCCTCATCAGTCGTATATACCAGGTTGTTAATCTGGAGGGGAGGAGGTTCGAAGCGCGCCTTTGGCTTAACCCAACTTGTTATCTTAAAGATATCACTCTTATCTTTGATCCCCCCGAGGAAATCCTGGAAGCCCTTCTTTCTGGCCTTCTTGATCGCCCTTTGTAAGTCTTGTCTTGCTGTTTGCACTTCTAGGCCTGTTGGGTTCCTAGAAGCGATCTTGATAGCGCGGAGAGTGTCATGTGCTTCTTTACAGCCACCGTCCCACCAGGGTTTAAATTTCGGCCGTCGACCCGTTGCCTGACGGCCTGCTATTCTCATTGCGAGGTCCAGAATCCCTGTTAGGTCTCTAGCAAGTTGTTCAGCCCCCTGGACGCAGTCAATAGTTGTAGGAAGTGCTATAGCTAAGGCTTAGACTAGCTCTGCAAAGTGTGTATATTCTTCTTCTGTAGATAGCCGAAATTTCTTTGTGCTTGCTGGAGGGGAAGGCGTGCATGGGATCTCGACTGAGATTGTATGATGTAGAGCTCCTACGGTAAGATGCTCTTCGATAGTCGCTGTTGAGCCTGGGACGTTGGAGAATGTCAGGTCAATCGTCGAGGTAGTCCGTTGCAACCTAGTACCTATAGTAGTAGGGGAGTTGATCTTAGTTAACAAAGCTAGATCATTAGTTTCTATCCATTCTGAGATACGGTGCCCGTCATGTGTAGCGGGTTTTGTTGTCTGCCACATCGGGTGGGTGGCATTAAAGTCTCCTGCAACTAGTGTATCTAGTGGGGGAGTCCAGGAAAGCAGTATATCAAGTCCAGTGGATCCTTGGTTATAAAAGTTGATTACTGTAAGTCCATTGACCTTGACCCCGATTATATCGCGATGGCTGAAGTTATAGGCTTGGGTTGCGCTTATATGTGGTGAAATCCGTATGTATGTCATTACTCTAGGACGAGTACTGCGAGAGTCCCAGGTATTGATAGGTGAGAAGCACCTATAAGCAGGGTGCTGCTGCGTACGGCAGGTATGTCGTTTAGGGTTAAAAGATGTATATGGTTCTTGGATGAGGATAACCTCGTAGCCTGATGCGTATGCTAGGTGTAGGGCGAGGTCATGGCTAGACTGGCTCTTGTCGATATTCGCTTGGAATACTCGTAGTCCCCTAAGGCGATAGTGGCGGTGTTGATTACTCATTAGAGTGAGCAAGTCTATTCCTCTTTGCTGGAGACCGGTCCCGTTGCGGAGGGCTGCTTGGCGGGCTGTGCTGGGGTATTTTAGCTGGCTGCTTCGCTTTCCCTTTTATTGCCTTGGGGGGTAGTGTAGCTGGCCTTACAGGCGGGCGTTGAGGCCTAGCTGCTATAGTCGTTTTAGCTATTTTAGGCTTGGGGGCATAGACAATATTCCTGCTTGTAGCTTCGATCTCGCCTAGCTCGCCAGGGTCATCTGAGTCCGAGTCAGAGTCTTCCTCGTTAGTAGCTTCGACTGCTATAGTATCCTTCAAGGCAGCTGCTGGTAGAGTCTTAAGATATATGTTTTTTATAGGAATACTCTTATTCGTGGGGGAGGGAAGCGAAATTTCGACGCGTCTGGGGGCGTCTGGTTCTTGGCTAACTGCTTGTTTATCTCTTGAAGGACGGGTCTTTGATCTGGGCTTTCTGCTGCTTGAGCGAGATCTACCCGCAGACCTAGTCTGTGGTCGTTAAGCGGGGTTAGCTGTATCTTCAAGTCTAGGGTTAGCAGGCTCCTTTACTACAGGGATGTATTCGTCCTGTTCGGCCTCGCTCTCCTTATCGGAAAGAGCTATATCCGTGTCATTCTCGTCGTTCTCGTCGTTCTCGTTGTTCATAGCAGGGGTATCTCCAGGAGCGTCTGGGATCTCGATGTCGGAGCCTTCTTAAAGGTTAGCGGTTCTGGCGCCAGGGGTAGGGGACGGAGGGGCAGATGAGGCCTGGCCATTTGGAGAGCTGGAGAGTATATCTTCTCGATGTATTTGGCGGAATGCCTGTGACCCGAGGAGTTTAGCGTGCACGCGCTGTGTCTTTAAGAGCTTGTGAAGTCCGTCTTCGCGCTTCTTTGGCTTTGCGAAGCACTTGTTGTCATCTGGGGGGTGTGGTCCATGGCATAGTGCGCACTGCGTGAATCGAGTGCATGAGTCGGGCTTGTGGTTATCGCCTGTTCGTTGACCGCAGTTTTTACAGATTTCCGGGGCTATGCACCTAGTCGGAGCATGGTAATTCCAGCAGTTGGTACACTGGGTGATTTTTGGCGCCTTGGTTAGCTTGAAAGAGAAGGCGCTCGTGCCTAGGAGCCGGAAGTTTCCCAGTACTGGTTCAGAGAAGGAGATAACAAGTGTTACAGTACGAGAGTCAGTGAGCGTGTCAGCTTTGGAGATATGCCAGGCAATAGGGGTTTGCCGTGTTTGACGATGGATCTCATCAGAGACCACTTGGTCGAAGTCGAGGGGGGCACCTTCCCAATCTGTCAGTGTACGAGGGAAGTTTTTGACCAGGTAGGTGTGCCATTGCACATTCTTTTCAGCAATAATCAAGTCGAACTTTGGTCCCCAGCTCTCTTGGGTAGAGAGGAGAGTCTCTTCGGCTTTGAGAGTCCGCGCAGTGATAGCCCAGCCGGTGTTCGTTGGTTTGATGTCTTGGATGTCCTTGGGATCGATAGATGCAGCCTGTGCGAGCGCAAGGCGGATTTGGTAGCCGTGTTTATTGAAGAGTTCAGAGCCGTGTTTAATACGGAGAAGGATACGCTTATCGAGTTTAGCGGGCTGCGTTCGGGGTGTATTATCAGTACGAGCGGCCTTGCGGACTTCGATATCGCCGGGCCGTTTTCCGTCGGCGGCAGCGGCACGGGCAGCCCAGCCGCCGGCCGGAGCGGGGCGGGGATCAAGGCCGGGGTTCGAGATGTTGGCGGCGGGTTTATGAAGCTTCACCGCTATGTTGTCCTTAGGGTATATGCCCTTTTGTTCACCGGGTTGCTGACGCACAAAGTTATCCCATTGAATTAGCAGAGATTTGGAGAAATCCCGCGCAATCTGCAAAGCATAGCCTTTGGTGTATTGTTTGGCGCAGTCGTTGATCACGGTCGCAAAGGTTCTCAGAACTTCGGTACGCGTCTGAAGGCGGTCCATCTCTTTCGTGAGAACGCTTTCGGCATGTTGTTCGATGTCAATTGGGCCAGGATTGTCCAGTTCGTCCGCCAGGTTGTGGTATATGTTCGATGTATAGTCTGGGCGGTTTCGTTTGGGGCTTCGTCCTCGGTAAGGAAGTGGTCCTGGGAGCATTGGACTGCTACTAGGTGGGAACGGCTGGTGAGTTGTCGCAACTCTTCCTTGAAGCAAAACCGCTTGGGCCTTGCTGATTGGAATTGGGTTCGTGGCAGCCGCGGGCGTTCGCACCTTGGTGGCCTCGGGGGTGACGAGATCAATCGCCATGCCTTCGGCAGCACTCTAGGTGCGATAAGCGAGTTTTGGATATCTTTTAAGTTCGATCCGAGTATATTATCTACGTAATTTCTACAAAAGCTAAATTTGGCCTTGTAGATGTAGATGTGTGTCTCTACCAGAGGCCACCAGTGAAAACCTGTGTCTAGGGTAGGTGCGGGTCGCCAAGTGTACAAAAATCGGCTGTTTTAAAGGCATTAAACGTATATCAAATCCAGAATTATATATTTGTTTGTTTGAAAAGGTGATTGGACAATATTTGTTTGATTTGTTTGGTAGTTTGTTTGATAGGATTTGATTTAAGGGCAGCGCTGGTTGGAGGCAATAACCCCTATTTATTCAGTAGTGAAGGAAGAGTATCTGCCGAGCTTGTGGGATATTATACTGAAGTGAGTTGAAGGCCGAGGACCAATGACCCATACAAGGTATATAAGAGGTAATTGCAGCAAGCTGGAACAACCCTTTTTCGAACCATTCTTCTTCATCTTCAGATACTGATAGTAGTCGCTCAGTTAGCTGCCAATATACCCAGTTGAGACAGTTACAGCTTCTATTATAACTTAGTCTGAAAAACAAAAGATAAAGTTATAATTATAGTACTCGATCTTACCAATTAAGTATCTTAGTTGTATTCACTATACTACTAATCTATTTATATATTTACTCTTTACAACCCCGATAGCCTGCGCTATACCACCTCATATAATCGTATGTGTTTGCCTAACCCTAGCTCGTGTTCCCGCCCAATTAATCTTGGTAATAGGAAATTCAATTTCGAAGAGTGTCCTGACACCTAGCCTGATGGGTTGGGATTATCGCATTTATTTCGGCCTTGATATTGCGCTTTGGTGATGCAGGAATGCTGGCCGTTGTAGGTCCAGTCAATCTTATTGCCATAAACAGGAGGACACGTGCACTCGACAACGAGAGCACCAGGCACATATTCGCACTTGACAGCGCAACGAGGATTATGTGGCGTCTGACCAGCAGAATCATATGAGCAAGACCCGTAGAAGCCGTCAGTGCATCTGAAAGCAGCTGTAGCCTTGATACCAGCCAAGAGAAAAGCAAGGGCTGTCAACTTCATTGTATAAAAATACTGATCTGTAGAAGATATTATGTGGAGGAGTGAGGATAGCTGAGTTGAAGAGCTTGAAGAGAAGTTGAAGAAGTGAGAGTTATCGTGTGTAGAGGAACGAAAGGGGCCAGGGTTTCTAATATAGAAAATATTGACTAATTCGGGCACCGCAGGCTTAATATCTGCCGATGGGTTTGTTCGAATCCACGCCTGCTAACTAAGCACCAAGTGCTCGGCGGATAATACTATATATTAGTAATCGCCACTTTGCTAGTAATAACATAGCAGGCTATTAGTAAGCGACTTTACTATGATACTAAGTCTCCATTTATCACCTCTACGAACTAGTATAGTACTAGGGAGCGTTAATTTGAAATTGTTGAAGATAAGCTTTAACAGGAGTATAATATAAGATTAAGGTTATGCCGCTTTAGAACTCTTCTCGGCTCCTAAACACTAATACTTAGTATAGTCAAAATGAAGGCCTTCGCTATATTCACCTTTGCAGTAGCAGCCGCTTCTGCGGCTGTAATTAATTCTACCCAGATCGTGGAGGTTCCTAGCGGTGCTCTTGAGATCACCATCGATGGTGTTTCATGGGGCTATCTGCTTGATACTACAGAAGGAGGTTTGTTCCACTATTCTACTTACGAACCTGTTACTATTGCTATACTAACACAGTATCTAGTCCGGACTTTCGACGTCTCTGGCACTGAGTATAACCTGCAGCAGACTATCGTAACTAGAGGCGGCGTCCATACAATCGCAGAATTGATTCAGAAATGGGGCAAGCCTGCCGCAAAGCTTTTCCAGTGTATCGGTGCTAAGGTTGTCAGCAATTGTGCAAGCCAGGCAAGTCAATTTGTTTCCGTTTGTTTCCGACAAACAAAGTGGAATAAGCAGTTTCCTAATACAGATTCTTTAGTTCGTCTTATGTAGCGCAAGCGGCGTTGCGCCTTGGGTTTGTGCAGGAGGTCTCACATGTGCTGGTCCTCATGCGGTGGAGTGTATACAGCAGTTGACAGGTTAACCGTTGTCAGTTGTAGCTATCAAGGAATATACACGTAGGGAGAATATTATAACGAAGTAGCTTGCATAATATAGGGGTATTATGTCGCGGTCTATCATCGGCGGTAGAACGGTTGTCATATACGTTAACTGAGTCCAAGAGTAGTAACAAAGTAGTTAAGCGGTCGTTAAGGAGTTATCCCTACGTGACAAGTACTTGCTTAGATTAATCACTGAAGACCTGTCCTAACCCTGCCTGACTATCTACTTATATACTAACCTAGTTCTTTATTATAGCTTGGATTACTAGTAATTCAGGCTACTCTTCCTAATAGGTTGCTAACACTAAATAGTACATAATTACACAAGGGTACTACTTGTAGTATCACTATCGACCGTCCTTTATTAGCCTTCGACGAATAGTTAATAATGAAATCACGAAGCGCCGAAGCTTTGTTGTGGCGTTTTAAATATGTTCAACGCCATTCACGAATTACGCCGTTCGCTGAACGGCGTAAGTGGATCCACGCCATCCAGGGAAGGCGGTGTAGAAGAGGGGCTTCCGAGCCGTTAAAGGGTGGATGACTCGGAAGATGGGTGTAATACGCTTGCTTGCTCGTACTCTCTACATAGCTACTGTAATTCAAATACAATGGAAGAAGATTACGATAGTACTAAATTCAACCTATTCCTAAATGATGTTCGTAAAGCATTTGACGAATTCATCCATGGATCTGAATACAATAACCGAGAACGCATTGAATACTCGAAATGGGTTCGCTTATACGTACATCTTGACGAATCTAATCTAGTTCCAGAACCCGGTGAGGATCCACGATTACGGTATCGTGCATATAAGGATTTTGAGCTTATTGGCAAGAGGCTTATCGCCAACCTGATCAACGATTTCCAAATCCAAGATATATTGTTTCAGAGAGCGAAGTCTTTGATATTATTGTGAAAGAACACCTCCGGCTTCTTCATACTGGCCAAGATAAGACTTGGGATGCAATCAAGCTTCTATACTACGGTATTAAGCGTGAAGACGTTATCTTCGTGGTTAAGCGATGCAAGAACTGTGCATTGAACAGACCATCCGCAATTAAAGCTCCATTAGTGCCAATTATATCTGAGAGAGCTTGGGAACGAATACAGGCTGATCTAATCGATATGCGGCACGAACCATCAGGCCAATTCAAATGGATCTTACATATCAAAGATCACTTTACGAAATATTCGCAATTATACGCACTTACAAGCAAACAAGCCGAGCCTATTGCCAAAGCCTTCCTTCAATTCATCGGTGCGTTCTTACCACCAAAGATCGTACAGGTTGATAACGGTAGAGAGTTCCAAGGAGCTTTCTTAATTCTACTTCGAAAGTATGGTATCCAGATTATCAATGGATCCCCAAGATCGCCCCAAACCCAAGGTTTAGTTGAACAGGCGAATAGAGTTGTATCAAGTAAGATAACTGCATGGAAAGCAGATCATCAATCAACTCAATGGGAAGAAAGCCTTACTGAGATCATGCTGGCGATGAATAAACAGATACACTCATCAATTAAGCACGCACCAGCCGAACTACTCTTTCGAGATCGCTCATCTTACAAGGACTGGCTGAATAATCAAATGAGAAGGGATCCATGAATTGC